TAGATGCAATGTGCCAGGTTTTCATGGTGGTTTGTTGAGCAAGAGTTTATCCTTTCTAAAGTTTTATATACCACACTGGACACTGTGAGGAAATAGCAGCATGATCACTCACACTGTCTGGACCCCAATTTAGTTAGTTTTAGTGACAAAAAAGAAACAAGTAATAGGGAACAGGGTTCTCCTCTTAATTCTTAACCCAGTCTGTAGTGGTTTAAGAATAAATCCACATCCTTTTAAATCCAGCAATACAATTCTTCTTTGACTGTTCACGCAAAAATGGCATGCCACAATGCTCCTGGCTTGTTAACAATTTGTCAAACCTCTCTGTACAGTTTCATAATTCTTTTGCACAGTTTAATGTTCCCCTTTAGCAATCCATCTAAAGAGTAACACGTGACCTTTTTATTACTTGACATTTAAACTTTCAGTAAACATTACAAATTTTGATTGATTCATCTTTACATTTTTAACTTTTCAATACTTGCACCCTTGAAAGGTAATTGGGGGATTGTTCATGGTCTAGTTCATTCATCCTGCCTGTTTGACTGCAGTTTCAGTTCCACCTTTCTTGTTTACCACTGTTGATTGTATTTTGTAGCTTGTTGTGTTTTGCTTCCAGCATCCCTCTTTAAATCACAGCTTTTCTTTCCGTCCTCCTGACTGTCTTCTTTACAAGCTCACTCTATGGGTTCAACTCCTGCCTGGCACTCGTACAGTATTTCATCAACCCCATGAAAACCACTGACTTGCTTTATACTGTCTAAATTACAGTGCAGTGTGGGAGTTGACAGGTTGTCCCCTTGAGGCTTATTGTACAAACTCGTGCCGTTCTGACCTGAGACTGTTCAGTATAGTACTGAGCCCACTGACTTACGTAATGAAGCTCATTTCAGAGCTTGTTGTTGTTATTGAATGATTCAAAATAACTGTCTCTTGACTGCTTATTACTAGTTACCCATTTCAGATTATGCTGTTTTTTTTCAGCAAAGCCTAGTTTAGTAACAGTGTCTCTGTGTTGTGTATCCAGCAGTTGTACTTCTCTACTTCTCTTCCATTCAGGGCTCCTGGACTCTGCTCTACTCTCAGTTTTGCCACTTAACTCCTGAAGTGAAATTTAGTCAGGCTTGGCAGTGGTGCTAAATGTTGGAAATACTGCTCATCTTGGTCCATGCTGCTGTTCGGCAGTTAGTACAGCCTCTGCCACACACACTCAGGACTCATCTCAAGTCAGCCTGCAAATACTGCTGGCCCAGCTTGGTTTTTTTTATAGCCGTGTTGATAACGTTGACATGTTTTGCATATTGGTGAAAATAACACATTAATTATCCTTTATTTTTATTTCTGCTGCTCTCATGACAAAAACACATAGCCTAAGTTTTTCTAGATTCACAAAATACATAGCACATTGAAATTCATTCACACCTCCCCGTGAAATATGTGGTGCCAGAAGTTTGTAAATGAAGATGCAGTGATTACTTTAGCTCTACAAACCATGCCATGTCTCTTTTGTTGAGCAATGTATTCTCCAGAGAGCAGGGTATTTTAAATTAGGTGGAGCAACACAGCTGACATTATTATAGCTGCAACGATTACTTGATCGATTAGACTGACGGAAAATGAATCGCCAACTATTTTGATAATCAATTAACATTTGGAAGCAAAGATAAAACATTCTCTGGCTCCAGCTTCTCAATTAGCGTGGCCCCTTTCATTTCATAGACTGGACTACCAGATTAAACAATAATGGAAATAATCAGTAATTGCAGCCTTAAATATGATGGCTTTCTCTGCATATTGGACTCATCCTTTCCCTCAAAGGCCCACATTGTAAAGATGAATAACCGTTGGTAACAGTATAAATTTACATGTCAAAGTTTAACCCTATGCAAAAGCAACATGCAAACCTGCCTCACCACCACAGGCAAATCCACTGAGTTTCACTGAAATGAAATGATTTCAGTTTGAAATATCACATATCATAAATAGTGGTATGACTGGACTTTAAGACTGAAATACCTGAGAAACTCAAAAGTTTATTTTATTTAGGCTCAAAATTCACTCTGTGTGCACGGATTCAAGTAAATATTTGAAGTTCCCAGCGGTATTGAAGTCTCCAAACAATCCTTGCCCAAACAACCATTGAAGTGTATAGAATTGGCTGATGCAACACATAGCATAGTGTCAAAGCAGCAGTTTATACAGGGACAGAGAGAGAATGATAGGATGTTGTAAATCCATATGCAAGGTTATTTTCTCTCTGAAGTGTGGCTCCACTTCAAACACTCATCTTTCTCCAGTCAGTGCACATCAGCCAGCGGCCCCCACCCTTCCAGACTGCTTGCAGAAATAGCATCACTTTTGTATGGGACTGGAGGGTGTCACTGCGCACTGTTTTTTCTGAAACTACAGTATGTGGGTATTACCATGGAAACTGCAGAGAACTGTCCAAATTACTGTCAAGGAGCCAGGATGCAGAGAAGTCAAATACATTCATTTTGAAGATTGTGTCTTCAGCCTTTTGACAACTAAGTCTTTGTTGGCAATTTTTCCCCATAAGAAACAAAATCAACACACAAGAATTTTGCCCGCTAGGTGTTTTTCTTTGGGTGCAATAAAACTTCCTGGCCTGACTATGAAAGGATTGTGTCTTGATATGATCGTGAGTGCCTAATAATATGTCTACTGTAGAGCATGAAATGTTCTCCTTAGCCTGGAGCTGTTGTGTGTTTTTGCACAGTGAGAGCCTTCTAGGATGAATGAACTTATGACCTTACTGAGAGAATGGCATGTTAAAAAGTTCAAATCCCTGTTGTGTGATTTCCTGTTGCACTGTGGGAGAGAGGCACTTTGGTCAAAGTCCATTTCCTTACACAATAACAACAACAAAATCTTGACAATAATACTACTACTACTACTAATAATAATAATAATAATAATAATAATAATAATAATAATAATAATAATAATAATAATGATAATAATAATAATAATAATATTATAATGATGTTCAAAGTGTTCAGCTCAGCATTAATAAAACTCCGGATGACACTGAAACATTACTTGTAAACTTGGAAAATAACAGAAAACCCAACTAAAGCTGACCATTTAAATGACTGACCACCTCGTTATATAAATGATGTCATTATTTTCTAACCGTAAAGGGGCGGGGACGTTGTAACGGTTGAATCATTTCGGCCAATAGTGTGCAGACACTGGAATTGCAAACGGCCAAGACATCGTGGTGCATTCAGGTGCAATCGGATATTTTCCTATCACAAACTCAGTGCTTAGACGGGAGCGTGTGGTGGGCAAATGCTCTTCAAATTAAACTTCGCCTTTTATTAATGTTATATTAATAATATCTATGTTATATAATATTATTATTAATATTATTAATGACTGTTTTTTAGGAAACTGAATTTAGTTTTGAGACTTTTCAAGCCCAGCTGATAACCTGAAAGCAAGATGTAACCTGTAAAATCCTCCTTCATAGGACATTCAGTAAGTGAATGGTTTACATAACTACAACGTGAAGCATATTTCAGGCTCTTTTCAAAACATACTGGAACTGAAGTGTGAAGCTTTAACTTTGATGTTTTAGAATTGTCTGGATGTAAGACAAAGGTGGAAAGCTATCAAACTCTGACCCATACACTGAGAAAGGATTACTGTAACTGCATTTCATAGTAAAATCAAAAATGACCTCACTGGAATCATGTTTTCTTTGTGGAATTAAGGTGAAATAGATTCCAACAAATACTAGCCCAGTCTTTTGCAACATCAAGTAGCATAATAAAACATTAGAATATGATATGATCCAAAGGCCTATACAAAAAAGGCTAACCTTGGTAACTGAAAACACAGGTTTGGAAGCAGCTATCATACTCAAACTGATGACTGGGAGGGAGTAATGCTAAATAATAACTCACTGTAAATCAATAAACTTCTCTGATGCTGCGTAAGGTTTATTACATCAGTAAAGTTTGTGAACACATTGGTAAAACTGATCAAAATACTTCAGTAAACCGATTATACTTGAGAAGATAGAACATACTTTGGCAGTTATTGTATACACATCCATTGCTGACATTCTTTGCACTTTCCCACAAATAGTGCGGTAGGCTATATTTATCTTGGTTTGTGTATGACTTGTGAACAACTAGGCACTTTTTGCAATAAACTCAATTGAATGGAATTTTTTGCAGATATGTGACTTTTTTATCTTATATTTTGTTATAATTTCGTATCTCATGTACATTAGCAATTTCATAACTTTTTGAAAAGTTGTTTGAACTACTTTTTTAAAGTGTATTTAGTTAACTAAATTAGATTTCCCCCTTGGGTAGTTTTACTGTTGTTTAACTTCTCCCAGTGTAAACTAATTGGCCGCTTGCCAAGCTATGCTTTCAAAGTAGCTATCCCAACACTGCTTATACAAGAGTATTCAGCCAACAGTAATACTGTAGTTTACTTTCAATGCTAACATAAAATTTCAATGTTGCAGATAGGAACAAACTTTCAATTGCAGGATTTTTTAAAGCCCTTTCCATGTTGGAGTTCTGGGGACTTGTGTTTCTCCTTAGTAAGTAAACTGGGTTCCTTGGACTGAGTCCGGCCCACATACAGAATGACTGTGCTACCACATCTGGATCAATTCTTGCTCACACACAGATAATCTCAAAAGCTGTCAGCCAACACAGGAGGATAACAGCCCACATGGTGGAGGACCTAGGCATATGTTCGGCCAGAAGTCAGTGCATGCTCCTGCACATATAATATGAAAGTGGATATCTTTGGTTTTGGAAGCGTGGTTCGCATAAACAAGCTATTTAAACAAGTCATGTTTGTTATTTTACAGAAAAAACGAATAATCGATCGATTAATCGATAATTAAAGTGATAGCTGCGGCAGCCGTACTACAGAGCACCCGAGCAGAAAGATTGGGAAATGGGAAGGTTAAGTAGCCGAGGGACCGTGAACGCAGCAGTCTGGGAGGGTCTTGTGAGCATCGGTTCAGCTCCTCGGACGCTCACTCTGATCACAGCTGCTTCTAGGGAGGAGGAATCACGGAGGTCCTCGGTATTTGAAAGCACAGTCTGGGAAAGGTGAGAGAAAATTTGTTTCAGCTTTTATTAGTTCTGTCAAACATATTGAGTTGATTAAATGAGTTGGAGGTTCTAAAGGAAAAGTAGTTAAACGGTTTAAATTGTCAGTTGACTCGTTAATGAGCCGAGATGGCAGCAGCAGCAGCAGCTCGGCGACTTGAAACCTGTTACTTGTTTAGAAGTTTTCCGGCGGAATGGCTCAAGTGTTTCGAGGTTTGTTTGATAAAATTTCGAAGGAAAAGTCCCCGAAACTGTGGACACACCTGTTTGTTCTGCCCAGCCACATCCTGTTGAAGATATGGATCATATCGGCATTCCTACCACACAGACCCAGCCCCTGTGTCTACCCACATTATACTTTATTATGTAATTAAATGACATGGACTTCAGCTGTGGAGGCAGGCAGAGGCGATCTTTACTGGCTGTAAAAAAGTTGATCCTCTCTTCCTCTTTGGAAACCTGATTGGTCTGTAAACGGGAATCCGTAGTATCGGATGTTTTCCCTTTGAATAGGAATTATTGAAAAGCAAAAATCAAACAAACATCAAAACAAATTCTAGGCAAACTAACGAGTGGCTTTCTTCATTTGGTTATGCTGTCAGGAAGTCTTTCTTCCTTGTCTTCGCTAAATAACTGTGAAAACACTTGTTTGTCCCGAGGAAATTCCTCTCTCCGAGCCACCACACCCTTGTTGTGCAGCTCGGCTACTGAGGCACAGACCCTCATATCTCAGAGCGGCGTGTTCCCTTGTCTTGGCATGTCCCTCCATAACAAAAAAAATGCACAGTGAATCAACGTGAAATCTGCAAAACTATGTCATGCGTCGACATGACTTCTCCCATTTGTGTTTGTACACTGAAACACACACACACACACGCACACATACACACACATACACATACAGGGTGTTTCAGGACAGACACATGTACAGGAGAAGAATGCATAAAATATGATCCTACATCCTCCTGGCTTGTCTGTCTGTGCGTGCATGCTTGCAGGACAATATGTTTTTGTTTGTGTGGCTACTACAGGAGAAGCTATGATGTCATTGTAGCTGAACAGCTGAGTGCTGACCAAGCTGTTTGCAGGTAGTGGACAGAAGTGACTGTGTTACCCAGTGGTACACAAATCAGTGCCAGTGCAGTTGAAGGAAATATTGTGGAAATCCCCAATCCAGTTAGAATAAAAGTCCTGTCTGCTGTTGTCATCACAGTGGGATTTTAACAGTCATTGACTGTACCCAGTGATGTAATCCAGAGCTGCTCAGTGGGAAGTGGGCTGCATTAAGGTTGTAAAAGTAATATTAGACATATTATCTGCACGTATAAATACTGTATATGGATGGTTGGCTATTTTGGTATGCAGAAAAGAAAAAGAGCTGACACACAGAAGAATGCTTGCAAAAATCTAATTAGCAAAATGATGAAGTTGAATATCTCTGAACAAAACATAGCCATTAATTGTTTTGCAAGGTTTCCTGAGCATGTAGTGCACAAACGAGAAAGCTGAAATTAAAATAATCTCTGTTAGTAATAGGACAATATTGTATGAGTAATTAAACAAAACAAAATATGTAGAAAAAAAATCATAACGTGAATATGATGACCAACCAGGTCAAACCATCCACAGTAGGGGATTAGTGGTATTTTCAGTGTTGAATAACCAGACAGTTATTTTCTCTATCAATATTTTGGTCTATAAAATGTTAGAAAATGGTGTCTTGTTTTGTCCGACCTACTGTCCAAAACCCAAATATGTTCAGTTTGCAATGATATAGCACAGAGAAAAGCAGCACGCAGTGCTGAACATAATGTTTAGAGGATAGGTTCACATTTTTTCAGCTCTATCCCAATAGAACATTCACATATGCAGTTGCACATTGGAAGAGTTATCGATTGCTGTAGTTGTTTTTCTTGGCCATACTGGCTGCTAAGAGATAGCTTCATCAAACAAGGTCAATGCAAGTGATCGTCACTCTTTGTAAAAATTGAATTCTTATGTTCAGCTAATGTTAATATGAGGCTTCAGCAGTCTGAGTTAGACATGTCAAAGTCATATCCTACAGAACTATGTCCACACTGCTACGTTTTTGTTTTAAAACGCGTCTCATTTACTACGTTTTCGCCTCCTGTCTGCACTAATCCAGAGTTTCCGAGCCCTGAAAATGGAGACTTTTGGAAACGCTGCTGGACCCGTTTTAGTTTGAAAACCGTGGTTGTGTTGTAGTGTGGACGGGCCAAAATGTAGACCTTTGGAAACTATGACGTAGACACCCACAGTCACTCCCTGATTGGGTCTCATCAGCCTCGACTACCAGTGGTGAATACAACAGGGATAATGAAATACAAGCATTACTGACCTTGTTGTCTTTGGTTGCAGCTGTTGAGAAGTTAAATTCTGCATTTTAATGCTACAACTGTCTTTGCTGTTCCTCGTTCGTAGTATCTTTTGCAACTCATCAACTGTGAAGCAGACGATCTGCTTTCTGTTTACCCCGGCGCACGGATGCCCAGTGTACATGATTGCTCAGTTATATATGTGTTTTCAGGTGTGGTAGTCTGGACGAAAATTGTCTCTGAGACAGAGCTAAAATGGTCATCTGGATGGTTTTCGTTTGAAACCGCTGTTTTAAAATTTAAAAGTAGTAGTGTTGACGTAGTTTTAGTGTGACATTTCCTTGTTATGTTTCCATGGACAGTGTTTGTGTGGTGAAATGTAGCGGAGGGATTTTAACACAAAGCGGGAACCAAAAGGCGCAAAAGAGTAACTTTGACAGTTGCTTTAAAAAGGGATTTCTTCACCAGTAAGGACGAGAACAATTAGCAACCAATAATTATACCAATGTATACATGGGCATTTGAGTATTCTATTAAGATAGCCCTTAAGAAATAGATATATTCTGACAATTAATCAGTTACTTAAATAAACAAATCTTTAAATTGAAGTAAGAAGACACAGTGTCTCATATTCACAGTATTGATAGTATGACAGTGTGTTCCATCTCCAGCGTATGAGCTCTTATTCTTCCCTTCTTGCTGTATTGAGGTCACCTCAGAAGCTGAATAGCTCAGTACAAAAGCCCTCATGGAAAACTGTTATGGATCAGAAGCCCCCATATATACCAGGTTTGCCGGAGGCCATTTCCCCCCCAATGATGTGCCTCATTTTGTTCCTTTCAACATGCTCTCTACCACTGACCTACTATAAGTGTTTTTACTTTCGGCCTGTTGTATGTGCCCGCCTGAGATTCAGAGATGGCGAACGTAGGAAGTTAGATTCAACACACAAACCTACAAGCAAATGTTCAGGAGGTCCTACATAGACAGAAGGGGGGTATCGTTCAGTTTTTCCATCTTTCCAGCTCCTATTCATGTTCTATGGCAAGCTGCTGGTATGTGCATTGTTAAGCTATAGGAGCTTATCAACTGAGGTGTTCAAACACAATGCTCCACAGCATCCTGTCTCAGATTAGTCTTCCTATCAGCGGTCATTTCCAAGGAGGCCAGTGTCATACTGAAAACAAACACAGAGAACACAGGAATCGGCTGAGTTTATGCTCTTTTTTCTGTTTCTGTTTCTGTTTTCATTTGACGGTGACCGATTAACATGTCTGCGTGGAAAACTGTGTCTGCAGGCTGTGGGGTGTATCACGCACAGGCGGCATGTAGGCAAGACAATCCTCTGGGGAATAAAAATAATCTCTGGGAGAGTTTCCTGTTTGGATCTCAGTGCTTGCAGTCTCAGGAAGTCCCTAAAAGGACAATTTAGAAAGCTAAACAAATCTTCTGAGTTACATTAGCAGTTGAGCCTTTAGGGATGGGATGTGATAGCTGGTTCCATTTAGGATCCAGGTCACTTAACACTTGCATTTGTTAAGTTCAGACATTAACGAATGCCTATCAAACCTTTTATCTCTCCTTATTCTTTTTTCTAATGTATCACTCTGTAGCACAAGTGGGCTGTGTGTTAAGTGTTAATGTAGCTGATCACCTCAAGTCCATTTAAGATTCACGTTGAGCTGCAAAGTTGAATTGATTACTTGGTTGACAGAAAAATTACAACCACCATTTTGATAATTGGTTAATAATTAATTTAAAAAAAAAAAAAATTTCAAGCAAAAAGACCCAAAATTCACAAGTTCCAGCTTCTCAATTTTTGCTGCTTTTCTTTGTCTTACGCGATAGTAAGCTGAACCTCTGGGTTTTTTGGGGTTTTTTTATTTTTTGAAAATTTTTCTGGCAAACAAAAGCTATTTCAAGAAGTCACACGTGGAAGCTGTGATTGGTATTTTTCCACTATTTTTTTTAAATTAAAACTTCAATCATCTGACCTTTTTTATAGAAAAAAATGACTGTTTGATCCATGTATAAAATAAGAAACATTAAAAGTGTTCAATAAATGTTTGATATAATTAATGTCCATGCTTATAGCACACCCACAAATGAATTTGGTCAGACAAAATATCGCTTTAAGATGTGCGCTTGGTTTCATAGAAAAAACAATTACTTGATTAATTGATAATGGAAATAATTGTTGCTGCCCTATATATATATATATATATATATATATATATATATAAAAGAAAAGCAGGAAATGCTCTCATTTGAGAGGCTGGAATCAAAGAACATTTGGCATCATTTCACCACTTTTCCTTGAAAAATAACCAGATTAATCGATTATGAAAATGGTAATTGCTTATTTTTCTGTTGACCCACTAATCAATTAATTGTCTGATCATTTCAGTTCTAAAGTAAAGGCTAAAATAACAGGTACACTTAATAAGATTTCGATAAAATGCTGTTGAGCCCATCCCTAACATAGCTGTGAGGCACAGATGGACTGGACCATTGAGAGGAACAGTGTTGGTGACTCCATCCAGGCTGCATACATGTGTGTGTCAGCGCTGGCTTTCATTTGTGCTGCGTATGTGAGTTGGTAAAGAGGAATGCAGCACCCTAAGGATACGCAACATTAGCTCCCTGATGGTGACATCACACTGC